CCCCAGAGGCCCCCCCATCCCCGAACCACCGCAGGCCAGCCCCGGCCGACGCCCTTAACCCCGCTTCTCCAGGTCCGGCCATTTGCCCTCCGCCCCTGCCAGTGAAGAGCCTGAGCCCCCCACCCTGGCGACCCTCGTAGCCCTCCACCTGGCCCCCCTGAGCAGGGAATGAGACACTAATAGGCAAGCTGGGCGCGGGGACGGAAGGCCCTTGGCGACAGCTGCTTGGATCTGGGCTCGCGGACAGATGGAGCTCTCCTGGGCCTGGGAGGCCAGGGGGATTCCAGGTGGGGCGGAGCAGACCAGGCGTGGGCTGTGCAGGTAGGAGTGCTGGGCGCAGGGGGCTCCGGAGTCACGACCTCCAGGTCCCCGCCAGACCCAGGGCTCAGCCGGAAGGAACACCCTCCTTGTTAGGGGTGTGGGACACCGCCAGGAGATCTGGGGGCAGGGGAGAGGGGGGTCCCGGGTGCTGGGACAGACACACACACACAGTGGCACACACAAACACGCTGACACACTGACCAGTACACACTGACATACACACGGACACACAGGGACATGCACACACTGACACACACAGACATACACACCGACATGCACACACCGACATACACACCGACATGCACACATGCTGACACACACAAACACATACACACTGACATGCACACAGTGACACATCGACATACACAGATGCTGACACACATACTAACACACACTGGCATGCACACATGCTAACACACCGGCACACACCAACATACACAGCAAAATGCACACACTGACACACTGTCATGCACACACCGACACGCACATGCTGACATGCATGCATGCAGGCATACACCAACACACACTGACATACACACCGATATGCACACACCAACACACATACACATGCTGACATGTTGACATACACACATGCGGACACAAACGCACGAACACACACACTGATATGCACAAACCAACACACACCAACATGCACACCGACACACACTGACATGCACATGGCGGCACATTGACGCGCACACACGCCACAGACACTAACACACATACTAACATACACACACCGACGTGTGCATGCGACACACACTGACACACTGACATGCACATACTGACACACACACATCAACACATACACTCTGACATGCACACAGACATGCACACACTGACACACTGACATACACACATGCTCTGACACACTGACATACACACATGCTGACAAAGACAGACACAAACACATACACACTGACATGCACATACCGACACACACTAACACATACACACTGACACATGCTGACACACATGCTGACACACACACACGGACATGCACACCCACGCTGAAACACACATACACAGACATGTGTCGACATGCACACACTGACACGCCCATCTGTACACTGACACACACACATACTGACATACCCACATATACACTGACATGCATGTGCACACCCACCCTTTATTCTGGAGCAACAGAGGCCAGGCTGCCATGGGAAGGCCACAGACATGGGGACACACACATGGCACAGGCAAAGTCACACCCCATCAGTGCACAGATGTGTTCTTGGACTGCCCCTCAGACAGGCACACATGTGTACACACACACTGGTGCACCTCCATCCTGGGGCACCATCAGACCTGCTGACAAGCTGACACACTTGGGCTTGTGGAGCCCGGGCCGCAGGTGAGCCTGCCAGGCGGTGACTCACACACACTTCCCGGTAGTGGACTGCAGCTGGGCGGGCTTCCAGCCGCAGGTCGGATGGGGCCACATCACTGCCAGGAAGAGCCTGGGTAGCCACGCCCCTGGCGCCGGGTGTGATGGCACAGTCCCTGGTCTTCAGTGGGGCACAGGGCACAGGCCTCCTGACTGTGCGTCTTTTTCTGGGGCCAGAGACCCTGCTCTCCCTCTCTCTCCTCTTCAGGGGAGGCAGGTACCGTGGGCGCAGGGCTGGGAGCTGCCGGCATGGCTGGGTGTGCCTGGGTGTGTTTGAGCCCTTGAGTGTATTCATGTGTCCATGCGTCTGCCAGTCTGGGGGCTGGGTCTGAACATCTGTGCACCTGTGCGTGTCTGTGAGTCTGGTGTGGGGACCTGGTGATGTGGGGCAGTCTGGATTCAGCACCAGCCTGGCTCTGTGTCCCACTCCCTTATTAGGTGGTTAGGTGTGTGACCTTGGCAGTCATGTGGCCTCCTGGGCCTCACCCTGTGTGATGTTTCCTGATGTTCTGGCTTTGTGGGGACAGCAGCCTGGTAGGAGGTAGGCAGGGGGGCTCCTTTTCCCCTTCAGCTGAATAGGCAGAGCCCATGAGGTGGTGAGGATGGAATGATGGGTGATTTTGGTGACATAACAGGGCCACCAGCAAGCCCGCCACATGTCAGTGAGATGGGAGTGGGAGGAAATGGCCCCTCATCCTCCCTGAGCCTGTCCCGTGGGCTGCCCACCTCTTCCCCAGAGACCTGCCCAGAGCCTGTCCTCGGCATGCCCAGGGTGAGGGGCTGTGGGTGGCCACTGTGGTCTCTGTCCTCTGTGGAGCCACCCTCCTGCCTGGGTCCTTGGGGGCCCGGTCCAGGGCTGGCCTCCAAGTCTCCAGTCACTCTGAGGCTCTGGGTAGCCCCTGTCCCTGTGGTCTTAGATTCTTCCTGGGTAGACGTGGTGAGGAGAGAGGAGGGCCAGCCAGGTAGTGCCTGGTGCTAGGGCTTCCGAGACAGCCCTGTCCCCACTCCTGACAAACCTCTTCAGACGCCCCCGTCCAGCCCACCTCAGCAGGACCCTAGCCACAGTGGCCACCACAGCTGCCAGGCACCCTGGGCTGAGCCTGGTACTCCTCAGGGAGTCCTCTGACCCCATGGACACACTGTGAGGGGACAGACTGGCCAGCTGCCCCACCTCAGCTGGAGGCCATGAGGAGAGTGCTCAAATGGCTGCTGAAGAAGGGGGCAGCCCCTGCCCTCGCCTAGTCCCCATGCAGCAGGGGGTCCCAGGGCCCCTGGGCCGGTGCCCTGGCCCCGGTCTCGGCTGAGGCTTCCCTGAGGGTCCGAGCAGGACCACAGCTACTGCTGTCCTCCAGGGCTCTCCCCTAGGTTGGGGAGGCTGCAGACCTTTTGGGGTATGTGCCCAGGCTCCCGCCCCCTCCTTCTGTGCTCACCCCAGGGGTCCTGATATCCCATGGGCTCATCTCACTCCAGCCGTTTCTGGGGGCCTGGCCCTGTGGTCTGACTCCCCTACCGTCCCTGATGCTCCCACCGAGCCATCCTCGGGGACAGGCCTCACTAGAACCAGGATCCTTCCACCCACCTGCCAAGGCCCCTGACTACCCACTCCTGACCCCAGAGTAGCCAGCAGGGCCCTGCCCTGCCCCTGGCCCCACCCTGCCGCCACTGCTGCTGCGGAACCCTGGGTGGTGGCTGCCTGCAGTGCCCTCCTCTCCTGCCATCACTCCCGGCCCCAGCCAGAGCCCCTGGCTAGGCAGGCAGGGCACCAAGCCAGGCTCGGGAATTGATGCCTCTCACAGGGGCAGGACATGGGCCCAGCTCATAGCCACCGCTAGGCACCCAGGGCCCCACTTAAGTGTCACCCATAGGTGGGATCTGCACACAGCTCTTTGGGTCCTCAAGCTTTCTTCTGCAGGCCCCTTCCTGGGGCTGCCGTGACGGGGTAAACGGAGAGTTTGGGAGCCTGCCCTGAGGGCCCTAACTGGCACAGGGTCTCAAGCTTGCGCAAAGGCTCTGCGGGAGGGGCCTTGGCTGCCGGCAGAACCTCCATGCCCCAATGGCCTGCGACTCCCAAAAGGATGCCGCCTAGCACATCAATGACACGCCTCCTGCGGCAGGGGCCGAAGCGTCAGTCAAACAGCTCCCCCATCCCTGCCCGGCCCAGCCTGTGGCTCTGCACCCAGAGTACACATGTTCTCCTCCAGTTCTGGTGTCGGCAGGGCTGTCCCTCCATGGTTCCAGGGGGCCCTGGTCGTGCCTTGCTTGGCTTCCAGAGATGCCTGCATGCCTGCACCACTCTGACCTCTGCCTGTGTTCGCGTATCCTTCTCTCCCAAGGCCCCTTGTGACCCCACTGGCGACCCAGCCTGGAATCAGGCCGCTGCACCTCAGGGAGAGCCAGGACCCCTCATGTCTGCAGGTAGCAAGCGACCCTCAGGAAGCCTAGGGTCATCCCCCATCCCAGACCCCTTGGTTTAAACGTGGGCAGAGCCCTTTGGCTGAGTAAGGACAAAGGCACAGATTCCATTCTTTGTATTAGGATGGGAGGACTTTGGGGGCCGTTATTCAGCCAACAGCCCCACCTTGCCTGGGCCAAGAGCTGCCTGAAGCCCAGGGCAGCCATTCTGTCCGCCCTGAGGCTCACAATGCCCCCAACTCCTCCCACAGGAAGCCAAGGCCCTGGGGGTAGGGGGTGGCTGCCCGGAGAGCAGGTCCCCAGCTCTGCTTCCCATGAAGGCCTCTGGACCCCAGCCTGCTTCCTCACTTGTGAGGACGACACTCTTCCTGTGCTGCCCAGCTCCCTGGACCTTGGGGACGGTCACAACAGTGGATGAGGGGTCCAAGCAGGCAGGTGGCGGCAGACAGCCCCAGGACTGACACTGCCCCCTGGTGACCGAGGGGCAAGCTGAAGCCAGGGACTGAGCCTGGTGGGGCTGGTGGCTGCTCACCATTGAGCAGGACATAGAGTGCCCAGCTCACCCCACCTGGCTATGTGGGCCAGGGTGGGTGGGTGGCGGAGGAGCCAACTGGCCAGAGGGGCCTTCAATGCGACTCCTTTGTGGCCTCCAGCCCTCAGCCATCATGTGTCACTCAGACATGTGGACCACTCAGCCCACAGGGGACAGGGGACCAACCATGCCTCACCGACCCCTCCCAACACCATCATCCTTCCATCTGACTGGGCACTTGGGTCGCACAGCGGTCACAGTGAGACAGCAAAGCTTGCCCGCACTCTGCCATACCCAGCGGTGTGCGTCTCAAGAAGCGGGGGTGGGGGACAGAAGGCTCCAGGTCAGAGTCCAGAGAGTGATCTCATTGCACCATCTTCGAAATGAAATGTTTGGGTAGCTTGGCTGCCACCGCGCGGGGGAGCGGCTGAGTCAAGGAGGCAGAGCCCAGGTGGGGCCAGAGCGGGGGTGGCAGGGTGCACACCGGGCGGGCTAGGGCCTGGTCTCCCCCTCCCAGTCTGACAGGCATGTGGGGTGCACACGTGCAGGTCAGCTTCAGGACACTGGGGGGGGGGGGCTGGCAGAAAGCCGAGGCCCCCTCATCAAGGCCCTCCTCCCCGGCCTGCAGGCAGGAGGCTGGAGGGAGCAGCTGTCCCTGCCCTGACCCGGGTCAGCCGGTGACCCAGCCTCTAGGCGAGAAGGGGCGCCCCTGGCTGGGTGCGGGGCTGGGGCCTCGAGTCCACTGGGGCCCTGCTGCAGCCGTGTAGACAGAAGCCAGGCCGGCAGTCGACTCAGAGGCCCAGGAAGTGGCAACGAAGGCGAGATGGCAGGCAGGGCGCGAAGCTTGCTGGTCACGCGGACGCGAAGGCGGCAGTGCCCCAGGAAGAGATGGGTGCACGCGGGCCGCAGCTCCGTCCTGCTGGGGCGGCAGGGGAAGCCGCTCAGGGGTCCGTGCCCCTGATGGGGTGACGGGTGGGGGACACAGGGCCACCAGGAGCCGCTCGCTGTCTGGCGCGCAGGCCAGCTTGCGGCTGCGCGGAGAGCTCCAGGCCTTGGGCCCGAGGTCAGACGCCAGAATACCTAGACTAAGCCCCCCGGAGAGCAAGGAAAGCCACGGCGAGGAGTGCGCAGGCCCCTCCTCACGACGATGGCGTGATGGCGTCACGGCGCCGGGGGCGGAGGACGTAGGGGGTGCCGGAAGCGGCGCTGGCGCGCCGTTGCCGAGCAACGGGCCGCGCAGCCCGGGGGGCCGGGCTCGCCCTCCGTGTCCGCTAAGCCGTCTCGGCCCTGCTCGCGCGGTAGCGGGGGCGGCGAAGGTAGGTGCGAACCCGGGGTGCCGGAACCCTTTCCGCTTGGAGCCGGGCCTCGGACTATCCCGGAGGAGCCCCGGCGGCCCTCTCTTCGCGGGGCACGCAGCTCTCGGGAGATCGCCTGTGGGCGCCGCCCTCTCCAGAACGAACCCTGCCGGGCGGAAGCCCGAAGCCCGTGCAGCCGGGGATCGTGTCTCTGCAGGCGCTCGCGTTTGCTACGCCCGGTGTGGTCTCCGGACCCGCCCAGTGCGGGATGTGTCACCTGCGAGCTCCGGAGGAAGCCAGGCAGGTGCTCTGCGCTGGGCGGTGGGGCCGAGGACGCCGCCCTCAGCCTCCGGGGAGCCTGGGCATGGCCGCCGGAACCCCCGCCAGCGCTGTGCAGCAGGCGGGCCTAGAGTGCAGGGGGCCCGGGTCGCTGCAGCGTCGTCACAGCTCCCGCCGCTGAGCGCTTCCGGAGGTCTCCGCCGGCGGTAGCAGGATGCAAGGCCCGCGGCAGCCACCAGGGGCGCCTGGCATCGCGCGTTCCTTCCCCGCCTCGCGGAGTCGCCTCACTGCGGGAGCCGCTGGCACGGCTAGCGATGGCGGCCTGCAAGGGACCAGCGCGCGCGGGGAGCGGCCTCTGCTGGAGCCCGGCGGGGGCGCCGCGGTGCGCGCGGACGCGGGCGCGCACGGCAGCGCCTGGGGGGACTTTGAAGGCTTCCGGGAATCTTCAGCCAGGTCTGAGCCCTTCTCTCAGTGCCTTGGACGCCTGGCGGGCCCCGCAGCCTTGTGCCACCCGGAGGAGCGTGGTTCTCTCCAGCCGCACGAGGGCGGACGCGGCGGCACCCACGCTGCGTTGGTCACGCCTTCCGAGGTAATTGCGAAGAGCCTGGCACCCCCCGAGAGGGAAGCGTTGGTTAGAGTGCCGCTCGCCGGGGCTTCGTTCCTGGGCACGGCCCTGCGCACGCCCCTGGCCGCCTCAGGCCTCGGTCCCCCCATCTGCCCGCACCGTTCCGCGGTAGCGTGGTGTGTGGTGTCCTCGCGCCCTGCCCTCGCCTCCACCAGGGGCCAGAAGTCTCGCTTGTCCCGGCTTCTTGCGGGTCTTGTTCTTCCTTTCTGCTTCTGTCTCTTCCCTTTCCCGGTGGTTCCCCCAAACCCGTGAGGAGAGGAGGTAAGCGAAACAAGGACGGAAGAAGCTGAGGTCCCGCTGGTTGGCAGGGTGGCCCCGTAGGTATCTGAGGCAGAGTTCTGGGCCTCTGACCAGACCCATTCTTAAACAGCACCCCCGCCATGGTGCTTTGAAAAGGAATCTCTCAGGTGGCTGATGTTAGGGAGCGGTTTGCAGGTAGCGCGAAGTTCACAAGAAACACAGGGCGAGCGCCCTCGGTGTAACCAACGCGTAAACTCCGTTCTCTCCAGACACCTGCCCACGGTGGGTGCCTGGGCTGCCCCACCCCAGACAGCCCTCCCTCACCTGCTGGCTCCACCTGCACAGGTGCCCGCAGGCCTCCTAGCTTAACCACCTAGCACGTGGGCACTGCACCAACGTCGGTGCCAGGACCTGCCTGCCTTTCCGTGTGTCCAGACCGGTGTGTGTGTGTGTTGTTCCCCGGGCCCATGGCGTTCCCTGTGCAGCCGTGCACAGCACGGTGGCTTTCATGTGGGGATGTGTCACTAGCCTTGCCACTGAAGCCAGGATTGTGCCTTTGCAGTCAGGTGACGTCGCATGAGTTTGTAACCTCGCTCTTCCTTTCTTCAGCCTGTTCTCAGCTACGAGGACATTTTTAAGGCAGCTTTTCCGGAAGTACCGGTACAGGCGGCAGCCCCAGATGTTCCTGTCTTAGCCTGTTTCTTAGAAGTCCCCAGTGAGGAGACAACTGGCCTTGCATCTGGACCTGAGCCATTTTGGTAATGACCCTTGGTGGTCTTCCCTCTGTGGATAGCACACTGTGTGTAGTGTCTCTGGGGGACTGGTGGCACCAGCCCCTTATCACTGAGCCTCGTCCAGCCTGGCCCCCAGCCCCGGGTCCCAAGTGTCAGCTCTGTGTGTCTGCTGTGTCTTGAGGGGAGGGCTGGGTGGAAGGACCTCTGGGGGCCTGGTTGGTTGGCAGCCTCAGTGACCCTTGGCCACCGTCAGAGAGGACAGTCCCACAGCAGCGGCGGCCGTCCAGGACCGTCCCACCCCTAGGGTCAGCCTGTGCTCCTGGGCTGCCTGTGAGGTGGCAGCTAGGGAGCCACTGTCATCTGGGGGCACGGGCCCAGCCATCTGTGGCCGTGGGCAGGAAGGCTCCAGAGGGAGGGAGAGGTGGCCGGCTCCAACACCCTGCTTTCTGTGTGCTCTGTCCGGGGTCTGTCCCAGCTCTGAACAGACTGGGCTGGTCAGAGAGCTCTGCTGCCTGGCAGGGCAGCCTGGGGAGGGGCTGCAGGGGGTCTCCACATCGAGGTGGGGGCAGCTGTGGTGCTGAGCTCCATCTCGGTTGGCATAGGGTGCAGCGGGCCACGGTCTAAGTGCAGTTGTCTGGGCACTCTGCCAACATCCCCACAGTGGTGGTCTGTAGGCCTGCCTTTCCTTGGCACCGGAGGGGCCTCCCCCAGGCAGACGCCCCTCTCGTATCCCCGCTGAGTTCCTCAGCGCCTAGCTGTGGCGTCCGGCACAGAACGGTTCACGGCCAGCACACCTGTGGCCTGTGGCAGTGAGCTGGGCCTTGTGGGGCTGAGCCCCGGGGAGGCTCGTCAGGTGGAGGGTGCAGGCAGCTGGAGCACGCGCAGCCCCTGTGCGTGGCACTGACGGCCCTGGATACAGACGCACGTGAGGAGGTTCTGCACCCAGGGAGCACCGTCAGGCACCGCTGGGTCTGCCCTTGGACGCGCTGCTGGTGCGTCCTGAGCGCTTCCTAGGGCGTGTTAACTACTACTCTTGTTTCCAGTCTCGAGTCTGGAAGGCTCTGGAGATCTCTTCAGGACACACGCGAGGCACAGGCTTGGCAAGGCTTCTGGCTCGAGTCCGGCTGCCGGGAAAGCTTCCTCCTTGTTCTGGGCATAGACGCTGCTCAACAGGTACTTCCCGTGGCGACTGGGCTCCTGGGTGACCCTCGTCTCCTGAGAGTGTGTGTGTGTGGGGGGCGCTGGGCTGCTGGGTGACCCTCGTCTCCTGAGAGTGTGGTGGGGGGGCGCTGGGCTGCTGGGTGACCCTCGTCTCCTGAGAGTGTGTGTGGGGGGGCGCTGGGCTCCTGGGTGACCCTCGTCTCCTGAGAGTGTGTGTGTGTGTGTGGGGCGCTGGGCTCCTGGGTGACCCTCGTCTCCTGAGAGTGTGTGTGTGTGGGGGGCGCTGGGCTCCTGGGTGACCCTCGTCTCCTGAGAGTGTGTGGGGGGGGGCGCTGGGCTCCTGGGTGACCGTCATCTCCTGAGAGTGTGTGTGTGTGGGGGGGCGCTGGGTTCCTGGGTGACCCTCGTCTCCTGAGAGTGTGTGTGGGGGGGCACTGGGTTCCTGGGCGACCGTCATCTCCTGAGAGTGTGGGGGGGGCACTGGGTTCCTGGGTGACCCTCGTCTCCTGAGAGTGTGGAGGGGGGCGCTGGGCTGCTGGGTGACCCTTGTCTCCTGAGAGTGTGGGGGGGAGGCGCTGGGTTCCTGGGTGACCCTCGTCTCCTGAGAGTGTGTGTGGGGGGCACTGGGTTCCTGGGTGACCCTCGTCTCCTGAGAGTGTGTGTGGGGGGCACTGGGTTCCTGGGTGACCCTCGTCTCCTGAGAGTGTGGGGGGGGGGCGCTGGGCTGCTGGGTGACCCTCGTCTCCTGAGAGTGTGTGTGAGGGGCGCTGGGTTCCTGGGTGACCCTCGTCTCCTGAGAGTGTGTGTGGGGGGCACTGGGCTGCTGGGTGACCGTCATCTCCTGAGAGTGTGTGTGGGGGGGGGCGCTGGGCTGCTGGGTGACCGTCATCTCCTGAGAGTGTGTGTGTGGGGGGGCGCTGGGCTCTTGGGTGACCCTCGTCTCCTGAGAGTGTGTGTGGGGGGCACTGGGTTCCTGGGTGACCCTCGTCTCCTGAGAGCGTGTGTGTTGGGGGGGCGCTGGGCTGCTGGGTGACCCTCGTCTCCTCCTGCAAGTGGGGGGAGTGTGCAGCCCTTCCTGAGAATGGAGCTGAGGAGGCGTGGCAGAGGGCTGGGTGGGGGCCAGGAAGGCAGCCAGCTTGGTGGGGCAGGTGGCAGCACTGGGGGCTGAGGTGGGGGTGCTGCTGTGTGTCAGTGATGTGGGTGCAGGAGTGTCTGGGGCTCACCCAGGTGTCAGTGCAGGTCAAGCAGAAGGCCCCTGAACACATCAGGGCCCAGGAGGGATCCCTTACGTGTGAGCAAGAGGTGAGGGAGAGGAAAGTGTGGCCCAGAGGTGCTGGCAGAGTGGGGGCCAGGCCAGGCAGCAGCAGGGCAAGGGAGGCTATGGCGCCGGGGCCCAGGGCTTGGGGACCCACTGAAAGTGTCTCATTTCTGATGCAGTGTCCACTCAGGAGGTGGGCAGGCGGGCTGGTGGTGTCGCTCTGGCAGTGTGGGAGCAGGTGTGCCATGCATAGTGTTTGGAGGCTATGCCCTGCATCCTGGGGGGGCGCACTTGACCTACACTACCCCGCTGGGAGCAGTGAGGGCTGAGGGGGAAGGGGGCTCCTGGGGGGTGAGCCTGAGCCCAGGAAGCAGCCAGTGGGGGCTTTGTGAGGCAGGCGTCTAAAGAGGGGCTTCCGGGAGGATTAGCTCCAGATAGCTCAGGGCTGATCCTGGACGTGCACCAAAGGCCTGTCTGTTGCCACAAGCAGGGGTCTCTGGTGTGGGAAGGGCAGGGCCGAGGGCATGGGATGGACACCTGGATCCTCAGAGGAGTTGGGGGTGTGTACTGTGACTGCTTCTGGTGTCAGGGCTCAGGGGGAAGAGGGCAGATGATCCCGGGATCCACCTTCAGCCTGTGAAGCTAAGCCTGGCCTCCAAGTCAGACGACTGGCACTTGACAGTGTTTCCTTCCTAGAGCCTCACAGGGGGTTCGGGGCCCGGGCTGGAAGGCCCCCCCCTCATGGAGCAGGAGGAGCCAGTGGATGGCAGCAGCCCCCCTTGGGATTCCCGCAGTGGCCTGATCCAGACCCAGGTAGGGAGGCCCAGGGAGTTGGGCTGCCCAGTGAGGGCTGGGACGCAGCTGACAGACAGTGCAGGCCTGACTCAGCCTCACCCACATGCTGGGGGCCCCGGAGGCCCGGGTGGGCAGCCTCCTGGGCCCCCCACACCCAAGGCCCTGGAGTCCAGCTGGTGCACATGCTCAGGAGATGGTGTCTGCCCAGGAGCCGGCGCCAACTCAGGGCCGTCGTGCAGGGAGTGAGTGGGGGATGGGCACGTGGCTGCAGCCCGGTGGGCCACGAGAGGTGACGAGGACCTGAGCTGGGGTGCGGGCCGCGGGATGGTGGCGGCCCACCTGGCACCCGCTCAGGTGAGCCCCACAGGCGCAGGAGAGCAGGGGTGCTGGCTCTGAGTGCTGTAGTGGGTGTTGCCAGTGAGCATGGTGGGGCTGCAGCTGGGGCTGCTGGGATGCTGGGGACGGGCTTCCAGGGTCGCCTAGGGCTATGTGGACACCACCCAGAGGAAGGGGACACAGTGCAGGGTCATCTTCAAGCAGCAAGAAGATTAAAGATGTCACAGCAGCTCGGTTTGCAGCTGGGGCATGGGGTGGGGCCAGCAGCATCCACTCGCCATGGTCACACACGAGGGGGCGGGGCCGGAAGAGTCCACTCACCATAGTCACACACGAGGGGGCGGGGCCGGCAGTGTCCACTCACCACAGCCACCTGTGAGGAGGCGGGGCCAGCAGCAGCAGCACTTTAGTGGACACACCAGTGGTAAGGGGCAGGGATGCCCGGTGGGTGAGCTTTGAAAGGACAGCAGGGGACAGCTGGCCTGGGGAGCTTGCAGCTCGGACACCACCCTTGCTTGCCGTTGCAGCAGGCCTGGGCTTCAACTTGCGGGGAAAAGCTGGAGACCCTGCCAGGACTCGGGGCATCCTGGGCGGGTTCCCAGGCTCTCTCCTGCTCTGCCATCTGGCCATACCCCATCTGACTACCGTCCTTTCTTTGATTCGCAGTTCTCGGGGAGCCCCGGCTGCAGACAGGGGGCCCTGATCACATACGGCCTCTTCCTGAAGAAGATGCCCTTCCCCGGACACATGCAGCACCTCCCGGTGCCCAGGAAGCAGCCACTGTTCACTTGGCGCAGCCTTGCGATGGCGCTGTTGAGGCGAGATGTGTGCTGAGCGCAGAAGGGCTTCCTGTCCCCCAGGGACCCTCATTCCGTCACGGCCAGTTTGTGGGAACCGGGAGATTCCATGGAAACGGGTGCCAGGCCCATGGTCTGGCTCGGGTCCTGTCGGGATGGAGCCACTGTGCGTCGGGAGCCCAGGCCTAGGGCACGTGTGACAAACTGCGTGCAGCCTGGGCTCTCTGCAGTGTCACCGCAGCCTCCACCCCCAGGGGCCCACCCTCCGGCCCCAGATGGGCATGGCCCCTTGTTGACGGGCCCCCATGGTCAGGAGGGAAGTGTGGCCAGTGTCACAGGAGACAGCTGGTCAGACTGCTGAGAGCCCCCGAGGACATCCTTGTCCACTTAGCACCCGGCCTGGGGTCACAGGGCGAACACTTGGATTTGGGAAGGAGAGTCTCCAGGTGGTGTCTCCCCCCACAGCCAACGCCTCCGCAGCTGCACCTGGTGAGGGGCTGTCCCGGCTGGTCCGCACCCCGGGGCGCGTGTCTGAGGTCTTCGGGGGCCTCGAGTGGCCCACATGCCCTGGGCTTCTGCCCAAGAGCTGTTCTCTCCTGGCGCCCTTGACTTGGTGCCCACGGGCAGTGGGCACTAGCTCCTGTCAAATTTTCCTGAATAAAACGACCTCAGCTGACCTGTGTCCCCACTCTGCCAAGACAGATGCCCAGAATCTGACACTCTGCTGCCACCCTGCAGTCATCCCTTAGCCAGGCCCTCGGGGTAACTGGTCCAGAGCTGAAGGAACAGTGATGGAGGAGGGGCCCACCCCGCTCTGCTGAGTCACCGTCCTGCACAGGGTTGTTGACAGGGGGCATCAAGTTTGGGAAATCCTCGTCCATTTTTCATGTTCATCCAGAAAAGGGCGAGCTCAGAAAGTGATTCTCTAACAATGCCACTTCCTTGGGGCTTCCTGCCCTGTGGTTTAAAGCTCAACTCTTAAAACCTCCCTCGCCACAGCCCCCGCCTTCTGCTTCCTCCCACCCACAGATTCAAACTCAGGGACAAAATCCTCAATGAACAAGAACAAGCAGGGAGGTGAGAGACCTCCGCCTGTGCGTCTGTCAGAACCCCGACCAGGAGCAGCACCCCACATGCTGCTGAGGCCGAGCCTCTCGCTTCCCACAGCCTGGACGAGAGGTGCTTGGTCTCTCCAGGGTCACCCACACACTCAGCAAGAATCCCATCACTGGACATCGCTCCAGAGGAAGGGACGCCACGGCCAGGGAAAAGCAGTGTTCCCTCTGGGGCTGGCAGGGAACGGGCACCTCATCCACAGTGGGAAAGGGCCCACAGCCTTGGGGGGAGAGCTGAGACGGACATGGTGCCCCGGGCGAGGGTGGGCATGGCACGGACCGTCGTGTGGCGATGGAGCAGAGCTGCGTGCGCGCACTCCGGACCACAGCCGGGCATCTGCGATGGCGTCACTACTGAGGGCAAGGCATGACACTCACGGGGTCTGCACTGTTTGCACTTTCCTGGGTCCCGTAATTACTCATCAGTAAGAAGTAAAACATATCTCTACACACATGTATGTGTATATATGTATATATACACGTTTATTTTTGCGTTTATGTATGGATTAAATCTGGGGAAAGACAAGGCCGAGCCTCTGCTGTTCACGGATGTTCAGTGTAAAGATGTGATACGTGATGAGCAGACGTGGACATGTGTGCCCTCAGCCCTGGTAGCATGAGAAGCTGGGGTGAATGCATGACCGTCAACAGAGTCACTCCCATGACCGAGTAACCGGGGCCTTCACGAGGATGAAGGAGCCGACTGATAAGAACAGGACCTCCCAGTGTGCACACCCTGGGGACAGAAGGGGACCCCTTGGCTGCTCACCAAAAGGCTGGAGTCCAGGGAGTTCCGCCTGCCCCCCCCTTGCAGCCTCCCACTGCAACCAGGCCACCCGGCCCACCGCCGGCTCTCGTGGGACCTGGCCTTGTTGACATGTAGCATGTTCCCACTCCACGACGAGCACTGAACAAGGTACAAGGGCTCAGCTCTGGAGGCGTGTGTTGGGGACATCCCAAGATTCTTCCTTGTCTCTACAAAGTGCCTGTTACATAGCACGGCTGAATGACAAAGATTTCCCTCATGGATTATGCCACAGTAGACAATGAACACAGGTTTTCATTGGGGTGCTTTTACTTAACCTGGACTGGACGTCGCTGACGTTGACGGGACAGCCACACGCACAAAACAAACCTTGTTTGGCAAAGGGGTGAGCAGGGCATACAGCACGGTGAAATGCCACCATCCTTGTGAACAGGCAGAGGGGACTGAGAAGGCACACCCGCCTAGTGGCATATGCCTGCGTCCTCCCCAGTTTCCTTCAGATGGCAGGCACCACCCCCCACCATATCCATACACACACACATCCCCAACATCCACACACACATGTATCCCTGCAGTTATCTCTGCACACAGCTATCTCCACACACGTGTTCCTACACACATGCATTTCCGTACACACAGCTATCCCCACAGGTATCCCTACACATGCACACATACATACTGCACACGTTATCTCCACACATACAGCTATCCCCACATATCCCTACACACGTACACATACTGCACACATGTATCTGAGCATGCAGCTATCCCCACACATGCACACATAGTACACACATGTATCTCTGCGCATACACACAGCTATCCCCACACGTCCCTACACATGCGCACACACATACTGCACACATGTATGTCCGCACACAGCTATCCCCATACACGTATCCCTACACAGACACAATGCACACACAGCTATCCCCACCCACGTGTATCTACACACACACACACGTAATCCTGCACACATGCATCCCCAACCCCCCCACCCACACACAGCCAAGTCTCTTTAATGTGGGATTTAATGTTAACCCAACGTTTGTCATAGCACCAGTTTGATACAGTAAACCTGGCATTTCTACTGCATGTGGGCCTGGCACACCCACCTTCCACAGCAGGGTCTGGTACAGGGCCACCCCGGCCACCTCATGGAGCACAAGTCCTTGGGTCTGGTGGCTGAGGACCCTCGTGGCGTGTACGGCCCCCACGTGGAGCAGGACAAGGCCCTCCAGGAGTGAGATGGGGAGTGTGCCAGTGCCCAGGATTCCCAAGTAAACAAATGTTTGACCTTGGCCTGTGAGGACAGCCTGCCATCACAGGCCTTTACTCATAAAGAGGCATAACCAAGACCGCCTGAAGCTTGGGGGGATTTCACAGAGTCGGAACCCACCTCCCGAGGATGTGCAGGACTGCAGTGCAGCGCTGTGTAGGCAGCCCACGACGGGCTCCCGCTGAGATGCACAAAGGCCACGGCACGTTCACGCAGGTGGCTGTGCAGAGGCACGGTGCTCGAGAAACCTCTCCTCTAAACCCTAGAAAAACGAAGAGCACCAACTGCAACCGTGGAGGCTAAGTGTCTCTAACGCAGCAGCACGGGTGTAGGTAGAAAAATAAGCTTTTAAGAAAATAGCTGAAAACTCTGAAGAGATAATGCGTATAAAAAGTTTAAAAATATATCGCAGGTCAAAATATTGCCCCAAATAAATGGAACTTAATTAAAAAAATCCACCTACATAAACTGAGGTTGGGGGAGGTCCGAGGCATGTGTCCTTGGCAGGACTGTTGCTAGGATGTAGAAGGGGCCAGGTCCGGGGGCAGGGGTCTCACAGCTGGCCCAGAAATGAAGGTTTGAGGACAATGCCTGGTGCCCACTGTGCCCAGCCTCTGCCCTGCAAGAGAGGGACAAGGCCGGAGTGGACACTGGAACCTGTCACTGACGAGCTGTTTTGAGGTTGTCACAATCAACAGACAGACAAAAAGGGCTAACCAAGTGGCTGCAGGGACCAGAAAGCTCCCCAGAGCCGAGTGCTCTGGGTGCAAACACATCTGCCGGGTGATTTGAATGGGAGTTCCTCACTCGGTCAGGCCTGCCTCAGGTCTCCACCAGGATCTCCACAATGTGGTCAAGTTCGCCCAGGTCAGCCTTGCAGCTGGGGCTGGGTGGTGGGGCAGCCAGGGGCACCAAGCTTTCGAGCGTGTCACAGGGCCCGGCCCTGGCACTGCCCACCATGTCCGTCAGCACTGTGTCGAGGTCACAGTGGGGGCTGTCGACGTCCGACAAGAACTCCTCCACACACCCAGGACTCTTACTTTCCAGTGTCTCAAAGATCTGATCCAGTGACCTCTGGAGGCTTCCTCTGCTTTCTCGTGAGCTGTCCAGGTCCCAGAAGCTGTCGGGAGGGTGCCCTGGCACCTGTGCTGCTGTGATTGAGGGAGGGTCAGAGCTCAGGGAACGGGCCAGGGCATCCGTGGAGCCTTTGGAAAAGCAGCCGCCGTCAGGCCTGGGCCCTTGGTCCTGTGCTGAGTGGCACAGGATGTCTGTGGTGACGAGGCAGTTGAGCGGTGCTGGCCCTGTGTCCTGGGGGACCGCCAGGCGCCCGGCCCCATCCTGGGTCATCTCGCCCTGAATCTGCCGCACGGTGTTGGCGATGAGGACCGACCGACACAGGTTCGGCTCCACCAGCATGTGGCAGAGCTGCAGCTTCACCAGGGACATGTCGAGCAGCGACTGCCGCTGCAGGGCGTAGGAGCGGACGGCCAGCTCCTCCTCACTGTCCCAACACTTCCTCTTCAGTCCTCTGGCGAGCATCATGTCCTGTGCAAACCAAGTAAGAGGCCACTTAGCATCTTTCAGGCACTGCCCCCAAGACCTTGTCTTCCTCAGCCATTGGGGAGAGGGGAGGAAAGAACGGACCCTCAGAGTGCTGGGGTGACTACGTGGTCATCTCTAGTGTAAACGTGGACTGACCACGTGCAACTGTGTGCAGCTCTAGTTAAACGTGGACCAACCACGTGACTGTGGGTGTCTCTAGTGTAAATGTGGATCGACCGCATGACTGTGTACATCTGCAGTGTAAACGTGGACTGACTGCGTGTGACTGTGGATGTCTTTAGTGTAAACGTGGACCGACCATGTGCGACTGTACGTCTGCAGTGTAAATGTGGACCGACCGCGTGACTGTACATTCGCAGTGTAAACGTGGACTGTGTGCGACTGCTTAACTCTAGTTAAACGTGGACCGACCGCATGTGACTGCAGACGTCTCTGTGTAAACGTGGACCAACCATATGTGACTGCACGTCTGTAGTGTCAATGTGGACCGATCACATGCGACTGTCGGCGTCTCTAGTATAAAAGTGGACCGACCGTGTGCACCTGTGCATGTCTCCAGTTAAACACGGGGCGACCATGTGTGCCTGTGCATATCTGTAGTAAAAACGTGGACCGACCGTATGCAACTGTGGGCGTCTCCAGTGTCAACATGGACTGACCGCGTGCGACAGCATGCACATCTCTATTATAAACATGGTCCAACACTTGACCCCAACTGTCCACACAGACGCCCAGCTGACAGCCTGGCCCCAACCGTCCACATGGACGCCGTGTAACACCCTGTCCCTGACCATCCACACGGACGCCTGTCTAGCAGCCTTGGGGGTCAGCCCTGCTCATCTTGGGAACTGGCTAACACAGGATTGTGCCAGCAGACAGAGTTACGGCCGAGGTGTTACACAGCCCTTCATTCTGCAGAGGGACTAATAAAGTCCGATCACACTGGCCCTTCTGGCCCACAGCTCCCCCAGCCATCCAGCCGACCAGCGGTCCGTGCTGCCACCTTGCCCTAGGCACCTTACCTGGCCTACAGTTGTGCCCGGCCCAACCCCTCAGCTAATTCCCTCCCACATGCTGGCTACTGCCTGGCTGGATGGTCCCAGAGGGGGACCCCAGCAGCAGGCTCCATGGAGGGTCAGTGCCTGGCATGTGAGGTCACGCCTATGATGTCGGGCCACTCCACTTGAAGACTTACCTGTGACCTATCTGTCCTTAGAGGTCAAAAGTGGAGCGTGTTACAGCGTGTTCCTTGACGCTAAGCTGAGAGCGTCGGGCATGAAGAGAGACGAGGCAGGCCAAGGGCGTGCGCTCCTCACCTGAGCCACCTGGCGGGGAGGCCCGGCGGCCAGCACCCCATGGAGATGGAGGAGCCCCGTTCTAGGCCAGAAAGGAGAAAGGAAAGCTGTAACATGTCGCTTCCCTCCTCCCGCGTCTGAAGCAGAGTGGAAATTCTGACTTTAAGTAGTTTTATTCATAAAAGCAAACTCTTTTCCATATGCACGTTTTAGGATTTCACGCACAAGCTAAGACTGCCCGGGATGTGGTTTTCCAAGGGCTGCTTTGGTGCTGGGGCGCCACGCGGTCTGCAGGGGAGGAGCGTCCTGCTGCCGGGCCTGTCCCTGGATGGCACCTGGATGCCTAACGCTCCCACCGGAAGCGCCCAGATGGCGGTCCGGCCACACCTCGGACCAGGGCTGAGCCCAAGGGGGAATGGCCGAGGCACCCCGGGACTCCGTCCCGAGGCCACGCAGGTGAGGGCAGAGCCACAGCACTCGCCGGGCGTCACACCGGCCCAGGGAAGTGGGCAGGGCCAAGCTGCCTGTGCTGGGCTGGCAGGGAACACATACTCCCGGGACAGGCGGTGCCCCCATTTCGGTGCAGGACCCCACGCGTTTCTGACAAGCTCCTGGGACTCCGCGTGATTTTCAAAGAGGAAGGTACCTCAGCGACTTCCCTCAGAACACACACCGGCCTCACTCAAGGCCAAGCCTCCAGGCAGGGCGCCTCGCACGCCAGCCTGCAACCTCTTCAAACGTAGGCCAGCATTTACCACCAAGACACACGAAACACGTGACATTCCAGTGGTCTTAGAGAAGTACGCAGGTCTTGGCCACAAATTCCACTTTTACAGTGTTTGTTGTCTAATGACTAGTTTAAAAACCACTGGTTTATGCACCCAGAGCAAAGGCAGGAACACAGACACTGTGCACAACACGGTGGTGGCACCTGTCACAACAGCCAAAAGGTGGAAGCCACGGAGACGTCCACCCCCAGACACACATGCAACGTGGGCCGCACACACAATGGATCCCACTCAGCCGGAAAGAGAAACCAAGTCCTGCTGCCCCCACCACGTGACGGACCCCGGCACCGTCCTGCTGAGTCCAGTCAATCAGCTGCCAGAGGGAGAAGCTCAGGAGCAAACCCACAGAAACCACGATGGTTGGTGGTTACAGGGGAGGAAGGGAGGGGACGGGGGCCCTGCTCAGGGCGGTGGGGTGACCAGGAGGAGAGGAGGGGTACACCCCCCCAAGGCCGTCACCAGTGCCCCTGAGCTGTGCCCGGAGACATCTGAGATGGCCTCTTTCCAGCACAACTGTAAAAACACTCACTGGTTTAACACCACAGTGGGCATGGAGGAGGGGGAGTGACTGGGACAGACAGAGGGCCAAGTGGGGTGCGAGGGCAGCTGCGGGTCGGGAGAGGCACCCAGCAGTCCCCAGGGTGGGCAGATTCTGAGACAAGCCAAGAAAGGGGGCGAGTGGGACAACCCTCGCAGCCGCCGAGCAGGGCCGCACCCGGAAGCTCCCAACCCTACTCTTGGCTCTGAAATTGCTGTTGCTGTTACTCCCAAGTAACAGCAACTCTGGTGCTGTTGTTGGGTGCTGCTGACTTGGTCCCGATGCAGAAAGGCCCACAGACGACAGAGCAAGGCACAGCCTGGCCCTGTAACGTGTCCGAGAGGAAGCTGCGGAAATTCCTACCCCCAACTCCGGGAAAAAAAACGCATTACTCTTCCTAACTCACTCACTGCCGTGGAGTCGGATCTGACTCACAGAGACCGCTCCTTGGGTTTCCAAGGCCGTACCACTACAGAAGTAGATTGCCCAACCTTCCTTCCGAGGAGTGGCTGGTCAGTTTGAACCGCCAGCCTTCTGGTTAGCTGTCAGATGCCTTAGGCTTAACTCCGATCTGTTTTCATGATGCAACAAGCGGAAACGTGACAGGAAGAGCAGCTGACGTGAGTGTAGGGGACCTGTCCTCTTGGATCAGGCCTCCTTTCCTAGGGCTCATTCTAAAGGGCATTAACTCAGGCCTTCTGTCCCATGCATCCAACACAAAGGCCATCAGGAGAGGAAAGGTGGCCAGGCACACTTGTCATCTGGCTTTTCCAGGCCAGCTATCTTGGACACAAGAAGCTTTCAAAAGTCAAGACTGAAGCTGGTTGTGTTTTCCATACCCACTGCAAGGGCCTTAGGACGGCCCAGGGGAGTCATGGAAACTTGGGGGGTTGCCCGCTCCTCCCTAGGAATCCCCCTCTTCCCACATCTCCCTCCCTGGTACGTCAGCCTCCATTTGACTGGGCAAAGCAGGCAGCACACTCACTTTTAAACCAACCAAGGCTGGTGGCAGGAGCTCTGCTGGTACGGTGGTTAGACCACTGAGCTGCAAACCCCAAGGTCAGCAGTCCGAACCTACCAGCTGTTCTGAGGGAGAAAGACAAGCCTAGGAAACCCTGGGGGCAGTTCTACTCTGTTCTACAGGGTCTCCAAGAGTTGGAATTGTCTCAACAACAGTGTTAAGGCTGGTGGAACTTGCTTCCTGAGGCTCTCCATATAAGCGTCAAGGCAAGCTAAGTCAACTGCAGTGAGGAAAAGGGAAATCGTTGTAAACGTATTTCTAACCAGACACTGATCAGGCCAACAGCCTGCCCACCAGGGTTCCAGAGGAAGGTGCCCCAGGCTATGTCATTTTGGAAAGTTGCTTTAAGAGCAAAAACCAGTTTTAATAAAAGCCCCTAAAATTACACTCAAGCACTCCATCACTAGCAACAGTTTTGTTTTTTTTCTTGTCCTTGTTGTTTTTACACACCCCTTAGCCACCAGCCACCCCTCAGAAAGAAGGCTGGGCAATCTACTTCCATAGTGATATGGCCTTGGAAACCCAAGGAGGGGTCACTAGGAGTCGGATCGGACTCAATGGCAGTGGGTTTGTTTTTTCTTTAGTTTACAGTGCAAGGAACACGGATAGGAAGGAAACCTACAGAGCAGCATCCAGCTAAGATGCCTGGGTGGGTGGGTGGATGGGTGGGTGGGTGATGGATGGGTGGGTGGATGGATAGATGGGTGGGTGGGTGAGGGATGGATGGGTGGGTGGATAGATGCGTGGGTGGGTGAGGGATGGATGGATGGATGGGTAGATGGATAGATGGGTGGGTGGGTGATGGGCGGGTGGATGGGTGATGGGTGGGTGATGGGTGGATGGATGGATGAGTGGGTGGGTGATGGATGGATGGATGGGTGGGTGGGTGATGGATGGATGGGTAGGTGATGGTTGGATGGGTGAATGGACGGGCAGAGGGTCAGACATATGATGGACAGAGGGACAGGTAGGCAGATAACATAAGAGGATGGATGGATGACTCGGAGAGGCAGCTAGGCACTTTCTCGTCTGAGACAAGAGGCCGCAGACCCAGTGGACAGGGGTTCTGGTCTTGGACTTGGGGCTGAGGGTCCTACCGGAAGTAGCGTGCAGTTAAGTAACTTCCCCAAATCCAAGATGGAGAAGCCAGCGTCGGGCTGCTCTGGGGTCGGTCTTTCCACAAACTGCCAAAGGAACCATTTAGGTTTGGTAAACCACCAATCGGACTAAAGAGCTTCACTTTTTGATTTAAAAAGCTAAAAAACAGGTCAAGTTGGGACTGTGGCTCAAACCGAAGTAATTCCCAGAAGGCTGATGACTCAGGGGCGGCGCCAACGCTGCGACCGCGGGCATCCGGGCCGTGCCATTCGGGCCGCTCTCCCGCGCCTCCGCCCGCATACGCTCCGAGGGCCGCCACGCGGCGCCGAGGGCTGGGGGTCTCCCGGAGCCCCACCAAGAAGGGGGACGGGCCCGCCCGGCGCCGCGGGGCTGCAGGGGGCGCTGAAGCTCAGGCCCTCGAGGCCCTGCGGGGAGGCCTCCGGGGCGGGCGGCGTCGGGCCCTCGCGGGCGCCCGCCCGGCCGCCGCCCTACACAAAGGCCGCCGCGGAGCCATCTGGAGCCCCCGCCCAGCCCTACCCCAGCCCGGCCGCTCACCTGCACTCAGGCCCGTGTCTACTCGTTCCGCCGCGAGGTCAGCCCGCCGCCAGGGAGGGGCCGCCGGGCCCCGCGCGGCGGGGCCGGGCTTCCATTCGGCGCCCACAAAGGGTCATTGGCGCCGGTCACGGCCCGCGCCCGCTGATTGGCCAAGAGAGGGGGCGGGCCCGGTTCAAACTCCGGAAGGGGCGTGGCCCTCGGTTCAAACCCCGGGCGGGGAAAGGCCTCTGGCTCCACGCCACATTGGGGCGGAGCGAGGTGACCGTTGGTTTCGCGCGGCGCGCGTCTCTCCTCGCGCCTGGAGCCCCTGTGTGCCCTGGGCGGCGAGCGCGGGCGGCCGGGACCAGCCCGGAGGGGCGGAAGTGGCTGAGAGGCTGGAGAAGGCAGAAGAGGCGGAAGGAAGGGCGGCCGGCGAGGGGCTCCCTGGGGGAAGGGCACGAGCCCGGGAGGCGGCGCGCGGCGGCCATGCCTTCCATCCCTGCTGTCTAGGGGCGCCCCAGATTTACCTGCAAGAAATGAGGCCTAATAGGGAAGCCCTGGGAAGTTCACAAGCAGATTCGTGGAAAAGTCACTGTCTTGAGGTCGACCCGGCTCACAGCGACCCCTGCTGGGGTTCCCAGGCGGTGTCTCTCCGGAAGTAGATCGCCCAGTCTCCCTTCCGAGGAGTGGCTGGAGGGGAGGGTTGGAACCGCCAGCCTTCTGGAGAGAACTTAAATAGATTACAAACCATAAACCGCTCATTAATTCAGATCACGTATTTGGAGGCTGCTGCTCACCCAACAAAGAGCTCTGGTGGCACACTGTCTAAGGCATTTGCTGACCAGAAGGTCAGCGGTTCAAACCCACCGGCCGCTCTGTGGAAGGAAGATGAGGCAGTCTTACGTACATTTACTGCCTTAGAAACCCAAAGGAAGTCGCTGTGAGTCAGAATCGACTCACCAGCTGTGGGTTTGGTTTGAGGGACTATTCTGGTTCCCAAACATATATACCACAAACGGGATGCTTGAACAAACGAGTTTATTCTCTCACAGTTTGGAGGCTTCGAGTCCAAGTTCAAAGTGCCAGGCTTTAGGGGCTGGGTGAAAGCCCCTCAACCTTGGGGTCTACATCTGTTCCCAGCCCACTGGAGCTAGAGGCGTTTGTTCACTCAGGCAGCTGCTGGCTGCTGAGGCTGCCAAGCCCAAGGTTGACAAGTAAAAGGCACAGTCCCGATGTCACCAAATCACACGGCAGGCCATTCATTCAAGTCTGTTGAAAGTCCCAAGGTCAGCAGAGCCTGGCAGGCTGCTGAACATCGACACGGCTACATCAGCGTTCTAGGAGCCATAAGCCAGAGACCGTTCCCCAAGGATTCTCCTTATAAACAGGAAGCAGAGCACATCCCTAAGGCTCACGGCGGATGCCACCATGGAGTTGGTTACCGGTCTCTTCGTGTGGACACTGCACCCAGCTGCCCAGCTACTCAGCCGGATCCAGCCACGTTGACACACAACCAAAGCCACCACCGGGGGGCTCACCCAACAGACAAGGGATGTACCTGTGCACCAAGTACCAGCAGGTGCTGCAGGAGGGAACGCGCTCCAGTTTGGGGGCCAGATGTCTGAGGGGACGGCATGGTGCGCGCCATCACACTGTCTATGCTGTCAGCAAAAGCTGAGTGTAGGGGACGATGTGCACACAGACTTCCAGGATGACGGGTGTCTGAGAAAACACCCGGAGGAAGAGGGGCGAGAATCCCAGGACCCGGGACCTGCTGTGCAAAGGCCCTGAGGGGACACAGTGCTGAGTGTCAGAAAGACCCTGTGCTCTGGAGGCAGTGGAGGGGCTGCTTCAGGAAGAGCACTAGGGGCCTGGAACCTATTATGCACGACTCACCCACTCCCGGTGAGAACAGGCGTCGGGGAAGGAGGTGAAAGGGCAGAGTGAGAAGTCTAGTCAGGAGGCGACTGCACTACTGGTAACACGGTGGAAACCTGATAGATGTGTCCACACGGGAATTTAAAAGGTATGCATGTCAGAAAAGAAGGTGAGAGACTCATGGGAAATAAACGTTTCCCAGTCAGCTCCCACACAGAGTTAACTGCCTTTCTGCACAGACACCTGAAATTGAGAAGCAGATCAAGGAACCAGTAGAAAATGGGAAAAGCAGCAACACAGTTCAGAACAGAGCCAATACAAACGCAGGATATGGCAATTAAAGCCACAGGGTGCTGCCTCCCACCCTCCCTCCCACAGACCACAAGTGCCATCTGAGTAAAGGTCTGCCAGAACCATGGCTCCTTTCCATCCGGAACGTCCAACATTCAATGAAAAAATTAACAGGCATGCCAGGACACAAATGTCAGAAAAAACACAAATGACTGAAAAAATGTCAGAAAAAAGTTGTGAAAGACTAACAAAATAAACCCATGGGTGAGCCAGGTATCACTGTTACCAGATATTTAAATAACTTATCAGTGGATTCATAACTGATGACAAGGAGAATAAAAATCTATTTTAAAACAAAGACTCAAATGTGGGAAATAATTGCCAGCCAGCTCACACAGTCTTTCCGAGAGAAAGAGTTCTCTGCAACATACCTCACAACGTCAACATACCTCTGACACTAGATCGGGAAAAGGACGTAAGGAAGGTTCCACGCACATAAGCTTCAAAATTCAAAATGAAGTGTTAGTGAGTCAAGTCCCACAACAGGTGAACAAGGTAGCAGATCACAACTCAGTTGGGTTTACCCCAGGACAGCAAGGTGCAGCTAACTCCCCCAGATCAACCAGCATATACCCCAGGACAGCAAGGTGCAGCTAACTCCCCCAGATCAACCAGC